AGTTAGGCAATTTCGTTGAAAGGAAGAAGGTTTTAGTTTGGCAAAAGGCTTCCAGGAGCGTTGGAAAGGATTTTGACTGTCTAAAAATATGATAGGTTTAATGAGCAAGAAAAACTGCATCAGATGAGTTACTGCATAATGGATTTGATAGTGGGCCGATTTGCGGTCTTATCGTCCCCTGTCCTTTCTGTGCAAAAAACTGATAAATCTAGAAAAACCTAACTTCTGGACCTATTTCTCATAGACTTTAGTTTTTGGGCTATAAAAGCATTAAAACGTTCTGAATCCAGAGTTCTAGTCTTACCATCTTACACAGACTTAAATTCTGCATTTTAAGAGAAAGTTTCTCAATTCATATCATTAATTAAAACAATTAATTTAATTTGAAAAAATTGAAAAGCCGGTTGAGAACTAATTATGAGTCCAGCTGACGTAGCGAAAACGTATAAAGTTTTATATTAGTGAGATCAATAGAACACAAAATTCTCTATCTTTCTACCTAGAAAAATTAGCTATTGAACATCAGACAATGGGATAGAAATCTCGAAGAAAGAGACATTAAAAGCACGTCGCATTTCGACAACTCAGCACCCGTCAATATTCTGATTGGTACTCAAACAGGAAAAATGCTGTCAGAGATTAAAATTACAGGTTTTCTAGAGAATTCAATTCTCTATCGATCGACTGTAAAATGAGAACTTGAAACTTCATAGAAGAGGATTAATAAACAAGAACAAAAGTGGCTGGTTTTATCTGGCCCACCCGTTACATTCTAGTTAATTTTATTTTAATCTGTTAGGTTCACAGAATATAGAGTCATTTCATAGTGAGTGCAGTGAACATTTGGATCGAAAGAAAAAAAATTTCAGACTTAGAAGCAATTTCTAGCATATATCTCATATATCAACATCATATCGTTCTTTTCCGTTCTCTTCTTCTATTTTAGGAAAAATCTCTGGTTCACTCTCTATCGTTTCTTACTTTTCTTTTTTCGTTTCTGTGAATAAATCTATCAAATACAGGAAGCGCTTAAAGCGATGAACAATTTGACAGCATATCTTACTCTAAGACCTATAAACAACACGTACTCACATTCAATCCAAATACAAAAGAACTTCGTTATATTGATGAAATCCAGTTATCAAGTAAAGGTGAATTTTGGCGATGTACATATGCAGGTAACACAAGCACACTTTTATTATGTTATTCTTCACGTGGCTCACCAATTGAGGAATGGAAGCTAAATAGTCGTAAAAGAACGAATTCGTGGCAAACACCACAATCATGCGACAAAAAAGAATTTATTCAGTGCATACGAGTATCACTAAATGGAAGTAATATAGGTCTAACAATTAGCAATGGTAAAGAAGATTACTTTGTCATACGTGACAGAGCTATGAATCAAATTTATCAAATTCCATTACGTGTGGCAGATTGTATAAGTTTCGTTTCTGTTCTCAATAACACATGGCTTCTTTCTGTTCTGCACTATCATAAGATGTTTGAAATCAAAGGAAGCAATTACGAATTGATTAAAATAACACAGGCTGAGGTTGGTAAGTCCTCAGTAAAAGGTATTGCAATGTTAGCGGACAATACTGTAGTTATGAGAACTACATCAACTGTTTGCTTTTTTAGATTGTAGGTTTTTTAGTCCTAATACATTTTAACACTAATAAAAAGCTCCGGAGGATTTGGTTCCTTTTATTTTTTAGTAGCAAATAGTGACACACTTAGCGGTCGTTTTTTTTTGTTTGATATTCTGGATTTTCTGTTTTCAGATTAATATAGTTTCCCAAAATGTCAATTATAAATTTTGCAGCATCCGGCCTGAAGTAAAACTATGCAGATTCTCTTATGAGTGGACTTATTTGCTTGTTCTTGTTTCCCTACTCTTTAGTAACGGTACATTATTTGCCATTGGAAACCCATTACTTGACATAAATGCAAAAGTGGATTTAAAATTTCTTGAAAAGTTAGTTCATTCCATAATTAACATTTTTAATTGTTGATTCTTGTACCTTGACACACTATCATTTAGATATCAGTTAAATGCCAATGATGCGGTGTTAGCAACTGATGAGCATGAAGACTTGTAAAAAACTAAAATTTATCGAGCTTTAACAGACAACCTACTCTTGTCAGGTTAATTTAGGTTCCGAGAAATCAGGACTCGTAAACAATCACATTACTTAGCCGGAGGTTCAACACAAAATATGATGAGAACCGCAACAGTAAGTAATTTTTCCGAGTGCTGCAATGCGAAAAGCAAATAATAATTTTATGTCTTCAGTGGTTTTTACAAAAGCCGAAAGTAGCGTCCTATATGGGATGCGTAGGAAACGATCATGCATGCGAGATATTAAGAGAATTAGCAGAGAAAGCTGGTTTAATAACCTCATATCAAACGAAATCCGATTTACCAACTGGTCAATGTGCTGTTTTAATTACACAAAATAATCGGTACGTGAAATCCACAACGCTATAATCTGGTTAAAAACTGTTCTTAATAAAATTCTTGGCTCGCTTAAGGTCAATGATTGCTAGCCTAAGTGCCTCACAACACTTTAGTGTTGAACACATTGAAAAACCTGAAAACAGAGCATTATATGAAAATGCACAAGTAATATGCTGTGAAGTATGTATACTTCAAATACCACATGAAGCAATATCGTAACCACATTGATGTTCTATTATTGATTTCGTTTTTGAGGCTTTTTTCATCCAATCATGCTTCAATGCAGTGTTGAAGTTGTGCGCCCACGCACATAAATACCGAAAAATCTTTTGCCTTACATTATCATCGAAATACATTGTACAAAATAGTAGCGGAGATCTTCTTTTAGCTGTTTGTCAGTACGCAGATTATATATTTGGTTACGAAGAAGTGGGTACTGTAGTATTTTCTGTGATATGCTGATGTTTTATTCGACTTCCAACTCATAAACTCTTTAGGAAACTAAATTATTTGCAAAACATTATTTGGATGTACAAGTAAGCCGACAGGACTTTTGGCCATTCTACCACTAGCTCTCTAGTTCTGTTTCCCTAGACAGACGATATTTACGCGTCAATAAAAGCACTGCGTGACATGTCAAAGTTAAATATGGCAAGACCTCGCACTATTGTAATAAGCAGACCACCAGAACGAACATTAGTAGGAACGGGTAAGTGATCCCTGTAATCCCTTTATGAACTGAACGTGGTCTCTGCGATTATCACCGTTACTTCCACTCATTAACACTGACCGTCAATCACTTCAGTTATCGTTCAGCATGTCGTTACTTGTCATTTTTCAGCGGCTGGCGTTGCAGAATATATATGGAAAAAGCCGATACCGATACTTGACACTCATGGATGTGGAGAAGCGTTCGCTGGAGGTATATACGCACCCCTTTTCCCAAACCTACGACAAGACACTAAAAATGCGGTTGAAGAATAACTGAACTTACCAGTATCGTACCTGTTTTTATTTGTTTGCCGTTCATTTTGCGTGATTTTACGCTGAGATTTACTGTACAGTTGCAAGTCTTGTCCAGAAATTTCGAAGAAGTGCAAGTTTTCTAAAATTGAGTTGACTTCAAACATGAGCTGACTGATCGTTATATCTTTTTCGCGGTGTACCTAAAGCATCCCAAGTTGAACTAATAACTCAACTTGGCCAACTCTAATAAAACGCTATTTGAGTTTTTGAGTATAGACAAAGCACGTGCATTGCAAGGGAAAAGTTAGTTACACAACTGATTCGGATTCAGCTTGCTGTGCCAACTATTAGAACTTTCTTTCGTGTTTAGTATACCGCGCAGTTAAGAGAATTCTCAAGTCGCTGCTCAGTTGATTTGTATTTAATTCCTTTTAATTTTTTTAGGATTTCTTGCGTCTGTGGCATTAGGCAAACATAAAGACGAAGACGTTGTTGATTGTGTTAAAGCTGGAATGTATTGTGCATATGAATGCCTGCAACAAACGGGATGTACATTTCCTGAGAAAGTTTCATATGACCCAACGAAATTTTGACAAGTACTTCTGGAAACCTTCAAGTTGATTGAGGATTGGAGAGTAAAAACACCAAACTCTATCAGAAGTTTCGAATCGCTTCATTACTTTAGTAAACTTGGTTTTTTCCAAGTTTGAATAAACAAGATTTTTTTCGTTTTTGTTCACGATTCTTTAATAGAGCTGTATTCTTTTATGTTTTCTATAAGCTGGAGTACTGTATTGAAAATAAAATAATAATAAAAGGTTGCACTTTCTAGAACAACAAATAACAAACAGCAATATAAAAGAAAAGAGAAAGAAAGAAAGGAATACTCTTTTTATTTCAAGTATTCATAATGAAATTCAATCAAAGCAAAGCGGTAAATAAAAATTCGTTTCATATAGAAGTTCGTTAAATGAGAAATATTTTTAACCATTTGTGATGGCATTTTTAAAACATTCGTTGAGCCATCGTGGTAATGATGAGGACAATTTTTCTGAAAAAAGGCAAAACTTAAGATATTTTGATATTGGTGAATTACCAAATCATTTACTATTACCAATAGATGGTTATCAACATCGTGAACTTATTTCAATACGAAGAGCCCTGCAATCGGTTGAAAATCTACCCGATAATATTGATTATAAAATTAAAATAGCTTTTGATAATTCTCTTCATGCAGTTGATGACCTTACACAAAACGAATCGGCTGCTATTCAAATCTACACCATGGAATGGTGGCCACATCACACATGTGTTTATTATGTACTTAATTATTTGTTGCGTCTAAAAAATCGTAATCTCTTAAAACCATGGTTCAATTATTTAAAATTGATAATAACTGGACTATACAAATTAAAATCATTTAAAGGTATTGTTTGGCGTGGTGTAAAACTTGATTTAAGTCGAGAATATCCAAAAGATAAAATATTTGTTTGGTGGGGTTTTAGTTCGTGTACAGAGTCATTGAATGTGTTAGAAACAGAACAGTTTCTCGGTAAGAGCGGTCCACGAACCTTATTTAGTATTGAATGTAAAAGCGGAAAAGACATTCAACAACATTCATATCTAAGACGAGAAAGAGAAATCTTATTATTACCTGGAAGAAAATTTAAAGTGAAAGGAGCTATAGAAATTGCTCCTGGTGCACATATTATACAGTTAAAAGAAATTGTACCAAAAGTTCCGTTATTAGCCGATCCTTCTGAGTCACTTACCTCTGCTTTCTGTCAACTACCAGGAAATGATAGCGATAGTGATGATGATAATAATGATGATTATGATATAGATCGAGAGGAAAATGCTGTTGAAGGTCTAATTACAAATCGTCGCGGAAAGGACGTGGTTGAAATCTATAATCAACAACTAACTAATCAAGATATGGAATTGTTAGCTAATGAGCTAACATCAAATGAAAGATGGTCTACACTTGATATGGCATCCAACAGCATAACTGATAATGGTATTGAATATCTTTGTGAAGGACTAAGTAAAAACTCTACACTATCCGCATTATATATTGATGATAGTCGAATTTCACATCCTAACATAAAATCAATTGCACAAACTTTAAACAAACAAAGAACATTAAAAGAGTTAAGTTTATCAAAGAATGATATAACAGATCGCAGTTGCGAAGCGTTAAGCGATATGTTAAGAATGAATAAAATATTAGAAAGGCTGCTACTGAGTAAAAATAATATAACAGATAAAGGTGTTCAACATATTCTACATGCATTAACAAATGTAAATCGAACTTTGAACGAATTAAATCTTTGTGCAAATCACCTGACTGATAAATGTATTGATGATATTGAAGAAATGATAGAAGCAAATCGGACATTAACATATTTAAACTTACAAGATAATCAAATAAGTAAAGGTGGTAAACAACGTATTGAAAAGATTGCGCAGATAAACGAAAATTTGATTCTTGAACTTTGACTTGAGAGCTATTGCATTGTTTTCTTTTTGTGTATCTTATGTAATAACATAGTTTTGTTCTATTGCTCTTTCAGCCTTGTTATTTCAGTAAGGAGCACAACAGGCATTTCGGCATGGAACTGAATAATTTCATACTGTTTTATATGTCTTACTGAGCATAGTTATACGTGATTTCTGTAGTGAAAGATGATAAGCTTTAGACATCAACGTACAACAGAGCGGAAATTACAAGTAAACGATTATACCACACCTGTGTATTCATTAACAAAGTCAAGACTAAAAACTTGTTTAAGGCCCCGCCCCCCTCAGAAATTATCTCGGACACCGTGCATCCCATCTTGACGAATCTTTCCATAAATGTTCGGCACAATTAGTTACGGGAACGAAAAAATTTTTTTGTCTCCAAGTCTTACGGTTAAGGAGTTTTCCAGAGATCAAGGTCCAAAAAGGACCCTGAACGGCGTCCCAAGATTTTTTAATATACTTCAAGCTGGAGAGTTCGGGTTTGTTTTATTTTAAACTAGACACCTAACTACATCGACTGA